ACTTATTTAATAATGTAATGTATATTATATTATTAGTAATTCTAAATTTTCAGATCTCTGCTCAATCTTTAAACGCTTGTAGTTGATAAAAAAAGGAAAAATAAAAAGAGGTTGTTTTTTTTTTTAACATAAAAAAGAGGTTGTTTTGACTATACGAAATCCAGTATTTCATATCTTTTTGGTCCTCCAAGCTCCAACTAGGGAAGGGAGAATCTATACGTGTTGGCAAATAGATTTTGGTCAAAAATCCTTTATGCAAATTATAAAAAAGGGTGGAAGGATATTCCAGCTTATCTTTTTCGCTTTTTAAAATTAAATATAAATTTCTCCACTTAAACCTAAACTTCAATAAATTAAACAAACAAAAACTTCTCTTCCTTAGCTGTAAATAAATAAAAAAAAAGTCGTTGCAACCTTCCTTCTTTTTTTTTTTATAACTTTTCATTCTACTCTTGAAACGGTGGTCCTTGCATGGTTTTGAGGGAGCAAGTGGAATCCTATTTGATTGCTTAATTTTTCTCTAAAGTTTGCAGCCTTCGTGCATGTAAGTCTAGGATATGATTGTAAAATGCTACTTATTCTGTCTAAAAAAAGACATTTATAGGTAATTAATATTTAAACAACTTGCTAAAAAAAAAGAAAAAGAAATTGAACTAAAATCATTAATTGATGTCTATACCATATGATGAATTTAATGGTTTTCTTAAACACTTGGGTAATGTACTAATGGTATTATGATGGGTGTAAAGTGGACCTTCTGCTTTTATTGTATTTTATTTTATTTTTTCTTTTTGTGGAGGTACATGTAATGCGGTTTAGCGTAATTTGTCTCATTAGTACTCCAAATTAAATGAACACAAAATCTCATTTGTTTTAATTAATTTGGTGAGATAATTTTACATTTATTATTTAATAATTTAAAATAAATATTTAATTTGTTTTCAAATGCCATATTCAATTAATTATGTAAAGAAAAAACAATAAACTAATAAAATTAACTAAATTAAATGTACTCATTATTTTTTGTGTTTAAATATTTTCAAGAGATACAATATTTATTTATAAAACTGCTATTAATTACGAAGAGCTTTGAAATTTTATTTTTGTTATTTTTGGGATTAGAGAATGGAAAGCTTTAGCCTTTGATTGGATTGGAGCAGGGGGAGGGAAGGAAAGAGAGAGATCCTTATTTTGTTATTTAGATTATCTATTTTAATAGAGGAAGATGGAGATGGAGCCTCCTCTACCATTTTATTTTTCATCTTTTTTAATTTAAAGAAATTAAAATAGAATTTTTTACACATATTAATTTTTTTTAAAAATTAATTTTTTAATTTTTTTTTAAATATTTATTTAATTAGCATAATTAAATTTTTTATATTATATCATATTTTTCTTTAAATTATTTAATTAAAAATATTATTTGCTCCTCTCCTTTACTTTTTTTCTATCCAAATAAGTTTAACATTAATTTTTTCCTTTCTTTCTCTTCATTTTCCTTCCTTCCCTCTCCCTTCCCTATCCTTTTCTTTATTAATTTTTATTCAAATATACCTTGGACTTTTTTAATGATTATTTTTTTTGTATTAACCTAATACTAAATATTAGAATATTTTTTGCACTTAAATCTCATGACCTGATAGCTTTATATTCAAATGTAAGGTGCATTCCTTCAATCCTAAGGTTGGGATTAATCCCCCAACTTCCATTGTAAACTATTCAAAAAAAAAAAAAAATCAAAGTATTTTCTTAATTTGTCGATATCCAAGTCAACTTATGGTCATTTCTCAAAGATTTTGTATAAGTGTCTCTTCACTCAATTTAAGTTTCCAATTTCA